ATCCATAAGAGAAATACTAAGCTTAAAGGCTTTGAGAGTATGCACAGTACAAATTTCACTATTTAAAGAAAATATATACACGAATATACAAGAAAAAAAATATGATTGTATAGTCACTAAAGTATTAATAATGGCTGTTTCCAGGTGGTGGGATTATAAGCGGAGATTTTTTTATGGGAAACTGTTCTCAACACAGCTAACTTAAAAACCAAGGGGTATTACCAACCAATGAAACTACTGTCCTTTACTGACTTCACATTACAAACTTTTAAAGCTACCAACGTATGTATTTGTCAGAGTGGCTACATATATTCTGATACACTTGGAAGATCTCTTAAAAGATGGAAAAATAGCAAGATCATAAAAGAATATATTTACTCTAAAATTAAAAACCATTGATAATCATTAGGTGTCCTACAGATACATCATTCCATAGGAAAATCAGTCTCTTTCATCTCATCTTTAGAAGTTTTTAAGTGTTCTTCTCTATTACCTTTTTTGCTAGTTTTTTACGTATTTATACCAGTTTGGACTGAATATTTACACTATTTCCATTCACAAACATTCCTCTCTGAACTAGTAACAGCACTGCTAATCAAAACTTACACTCAAGCCATTTAAGACTAAGTTTTAGATCTGTGGCTAATTATCTGGCAAGAATAAAAGAATAAGAAAAGTTTCACATTAGCAGCAAATTAACTAATTTAAGGGTCTTGATTTGTTGTGAGCCTTTGGAAGCCTGCATATTAAACACCGGTGAGTTTTAAATTCTCAATGGAAATGGTGATGGCATTCACTTAACCAAGCTAGCTCAAATTAAGGGTAGTGAGAACATGCAATTAAAAAAAAAACCAAACAGTAAATTCCTATTTTTCAGACATCACCAAGATCATCTTATAAATCAGAATGATTTTAGACCCCAGTATGGTTTTCATCTATATTTAAGATATCTAAAAAGAAAAAAATGTGTGTACACACACACACTTTTCATACTTCATATTCATTTTTTAAAAGAAAACGTAAACTTGAAATAACATTAAATTGTTACATAAATGATCTGCTTTCTTTTTAAAACATTTGTATAAGCTACACTTTCACTTATTACCTTACTATGCTTTGTCGAAAGGATATGCCTTACTTAGTCTTTGAGCTCTTAAAAATATGAGAAATAATAAGATTAAGTTCAGGAACATAGTCTTCAGACTATTGTGGAATATCAATTTTTAAAGAGCGTAAGTCACAATGAACAGATGAAGCTTCCCATGTTGATGGAGTATTACAGAATCAAAGAATGGAAAAGCCATAAAATTGAAATCTGAGATATCAAATCCATTCTGGGCAATTATCTTCAGACACCCCACTTAGTAAAATATATATATAGATATATGCATGATTTTTCAAAAATCGTGAACATTTTGGGATTAGCATATTATTTAATATGTGCAATTTAAATTGTGCTTGAAACAATTTACTATTAGACTAAGATCCTAAAAAAGCTAAATGCCTCTCAACATGAGTAGATTGGTACTCTACTCCCAAACTGATAAGGTCCCATGTTTTTATGCAACTGTAGGCTTTGAAGGACAGCAGGGGGTTAAAAAAAACCTTACAAAAAAACTTATTAGTCACATTTGGCTGCCCATCATTAAAATGTCAATAAACCTAAGCCATTTAAATGATAAATATTCTCATTTAATAAAACACCCACACAATGACAAGAATGAGACTTTAATCAGTTTTAAGTGGAGTTTATAACACTAGGAGATAGAGGGCTGTTAACAAACACAATACAAGTGGACATCTGGTTGGCAGGAGGCATTGTCCTGTACACGGTAGTTTGTGTATCCTCAGTGCATAGCGTTTACACACAGAGCCACTGCTGCACGGCACGAGTATCTGAAGAGGCTGAGCCAGAGTAAGGCTGCTGAACAGACTCAAGTGTCTTAGTATATATATTCTATATGGAAACAGATTGAACTTCTGAACTGGCAGGGTAGAAGGCAACTCTGCCCAACACTGCAGTTAAAGCCCCCGCTTTAGTGCACAGTTCCACCCCTTCCATCTGCATGCATGACACATTAACAGTATTTAAAGGTAAACGAGGCACTTTGTGGCAACCACAGCCATCGTTATGAACATATTGCACAAATTTTCTAGAACTAAATAGTAACTTGTACCCTACTTTTATTTTTTAAAGCTGAAACATTTGATGCTGCCGGTAAACTCCACTCAAGTTTATAACCTGTGCCACAGTGAAGAATGGTGATGCTATTTACTCAACTACCCTTTAATAATTATGATAGAAAAATGTTCAAGAGGAGCTACAGAGGACTTGGGATGGTACAGGGCCCAATTGTAAGCGTTCTTAAAAGTGATGCCTTCAAGTAACTTCAGACACGTAAGCGGCTGCACATCCAAAAAGTCTAAGAAAACATTCCAGAAACTCAAAGAGATTTACCTACAGAATGCATTTCAGGCTAATCATGAATACTGTCATAAATAAAGTTTTAATTAGGACTCGAAAACCTTTCAGTCATAGCAATTCTTGTCAAATTCTATGGGCATGGTAACTGAAATAAAGGAGAGTAGTATGTATAATATATATTTATATATATATATAATATATATAATGCCATTTTTCCATTTCCAATGACTACACCATAAAATGTAAGCAAGGCTTCTCAAAAACATTGAAACATTCAAAATCAAAACCCTCATTCAGACCTTCACATTCCAAAGGAAAAATAATAACAGTGCAAAAGCCCATTATAATGTCATTATTTATGACCTGGCCCTCCATGTTACATATTGGAACAATACAAGTTATGCTTTAATATACTGTGCCCAAAACTGTAACAAATAACAGTATTAATAACTATCTTCAAAACACAAATAGTTGATTTTCATTTTAGTCAACAGTTCAGCTTTTATGAAAGACAAGGTGAGATAAATTTCAATGATGAGAGCTGAGGAATAAGTGTCTCTAACTTTACCAATTTAACTTATGAGCAGTCAATCAATTCTCTACATATCAATGTTTAAATATAAATGTGTAAATACTAACCACTTTGTTAAAAATTTTTAAAACCTTATTTTTTGAATGAAACTGACGAGGTATGGAAAACATGTCAAGATTATTTACTAAAGAATATTTTAGATGAAGTTCTGCCTAATCTATTTACCATCAAACTCTATAAAGGCTGCTCTAGTAGGTCCTATGCAATCTGTATTTGTAAATTAACTAGGTCAGACCACAGCTAGTGAACAATTTCAGCACCAATAAGTTATTGAAAATGAGATTTTACACCATTAAGAAATAAATTGGCTGGATAGTCAAATGTTTCAAGGTCAAGATATAATTTGAAAGATATCAAATTTCTGGGAAAAAAATTATTTTTACTCATATCTTCACATTAACTTTACAATAGTAGTTGTACTCTGCTTAAAATCATATGCAGTCTGGGCATATCAAATATACGATATTTAAGAAGTGAAATTGAAGCCCTAATCCTAACTCTAGCACTATGAAGAAATGATTCAACACTGCACATTTAAAAAAATCTATTCTTTCAATAGCAAATTGATAAAAGCATTATGTGGGACAATTTCTACTGAAAAAGTAAATGACTTATTATTTGTGCAGTGTTGAAAATTTACTGCAACTCTAATTTCCTTTTTAACACAAATAACGTCCTTTTAAATATAAACATTATATGTATTCAATATTCAAGTAAAATTCCCTAACAGTTAATGACATTTAAAAAATGTGCAAAACTGCAAAACTCATTGTAATAGAATGTGTAAGGTCAAAAGGGTGGAACGGCTGACATCTATTGGATTGAATAAGTGCATCATAAATCTTTAAAGAAAAAAAACCGCTTACTGTAGAATCTCAAATTGAAATTTCCTGTGCAGCATTACAAAATATTGTATATTTAATGAGAAAAAAGAAGCTTGTAGGCAGCACATGAAGCATCCACAGCAGGTATATGATTGAAAACTAATAACATAAGTTGTTGACTGATGTAGGTACTAATAGCATCTGACTTTTAGCACTGGCCTTGATTACACAGGAGATGGAGCAGTCGTTACAACTGAGAAAACATGTTTAATAAACCATTGTCGATGTTTATAACGTTCCAAGCCCATTCTTCGTTGACAGCCTCCACATCTGTATGGTTAGGTCATTGCTGCTGTGTTTCTTATCTCTGACCACGTTACTTTTATATCCCTTCATTTGTGGGTTCTTAAGATGTTGTGGAAGGTTCATTCCTGTACCCCAATACAGATTCACTCCCTCTAGCTGCCTTTTCTAGCACCAATATGCTTAAAAAAAATAAAATGCACAAATAACAAGCAGTGACAGCGGCCAATTCCTCAAATGTCCAGATTAATAACTGCAGCATGCTAAAGAAAGGTGCGTGTAAATAGCTGGAGATGGTATATGGTCCAGAATCCAGCACACAACAAATGCCTTTCTGAGCATTCCCTCCATTCCCCTATCCCAAATACATGCATTAGAATGTAGCAAAACCTTTTAGAAACTCCTCTTAGCCAACTGCAAACTTATCTGTTGCCACAAGTGCAAAGGGGTAGGAAGTGAACCTGTGTATCACAAAGCTCTTTAGCCACTTCAGTTGGTGACAGAACACAAAATGAGAAATTCCTACGTATACACATCAGTCTGTCTCCACTTTTTATAAAACTGGAATAAAATGGGAAAGTGCCATCTTTATTCATCCTAATTGAATTTTAAATGTCCTTTTGACACAAAAAGGTATATACATGACACTACACAATCTTTTTTCAACTGGACAACAAGTGTCAAAACCCTGTGGATGTATAGGGTAAAACAAGATTGGTCAGGAAAAGAGAATTGTTCCTATAACTGGTAATCTGACACAATGTCCTATTGCCATTAAAAAAAAAAAAAAGGTCCATTTTCAGTTTATTCAAGTTTGTTTTCATGGTGTTTTATCCCTCTTGATAAAAAAAAAAAATCAGACTTTTGTAATTTGTGTATGCTGATCTTCATCAAAAGGCTCATTCTCTGGATCAGAGTCAGTGGTGTCAGAATATCTATAGTGATCAGGTTCATTGTCACTAACGTCTGGTGTTACAGAAGTTGAACTGCTAGCCTCTGGGTTTGATGACTCCTCTACTGTTTTTGTGAAGTACAGCTTCACCTAGAGAAAGAAGAGAAAGTGTAAATGAAAAACCCATAAATCTGACCACTCTTAAAGACACATATCTTTATCAGATTCATTTTCAAGTGTTATGACATATATAATCCTTAAAAAGCCTTTTAAATGACCTTATCTTCTTAAGATTTCCTACATTTTCTTTCTTAATGTACACTGAAAAGAAACTGGGATGTTAACATACTATGAGTTTTTTTAAATAAGCATAAACTATAGGCATTAATGAAATAATTCTACAAAAGAAATGTACTGCTTTCAATAATCCACATAATATATTTTCAATCACAACAACTCACAAAGAGTTGCAGTTCAAAAGAATGTTTCACTTACAGCCTGTCTGAAATTCAACGTATTTTCTAATACAGATAATATTAACAATGATGTCTAGGATTCCATTTGCCCTAAAAACTTCACTGAAAGGAAGTAATAAAAAAGTTAATATCATCCAGTGCTCTAAACAGTGAACCAAAGACCTTTACAAGCAGAGCTGAAATAACTGTCAAAACAACTCTACAAGATAGGTCTTTCTGTTTTAAGAGAGAAAGCTATAGTTCAGAAAAGCTAGGATACTTGCTAAAGGCTACATATCTAGTAGGCAGTGGATGTGGGATTTAAATTAGATATGACATCAAATTCTTTGATCTGTCTATTATATCTACAGCCCTGCCCACATGATCCAAGAGTCATTATCGATTCTTCTTTCTCTTACATTCAATATCCACTCCATCAGTAAAGCCTTTTAGTTCTACCTTCAACTAGTATCCTAGCTTTTATTCTTGACCCCCTCTAGCCTTTATTTTAAAGGAGAGGACAGGGTAAACTTTTAAAGGCAAAAAGCACATTACATTTTTCCTACAGAGAACACACTCAATGTATTCACACTTGGACTGATGTGTGTTAGTCTAAATGATTTCTTATCTATTGCTCCTCAAATACACTAAGCTCACTCTTGTCTCAGGGCTTCTACACCTGCTCTTTCCTCTTTTCCCAGATATTTTATAGCTCACTCATTTCACTTAGGCCTCTAATTAAAGTCAACTTCTTGGAGAGGCCTTCTCTAACCATCCCACTAGAAAATACACCAAGGCCACTCTCACTCCTATCTCTGCTTTATTTTTCCAAAGCACTTACCATTATATGATATTATATGTGTTTACTGATAATTGCAATAGCTTTTATTTGTAATAACAAATATGAAACCTCTTTAACATTAAAACAAAAAAATAAAATTAGAGGAAGTCACACTTTAAAAGCTAGTAACTTTCAATGTATGACAAAAACCACTGCAATGTTGTAAAGTAATTAGCCTCAAACTAATAAAAATAAATGGAAAAAAAAATAAATAAAATTAACTCAACAGAAAAAAAAATAAATAAATAAAAATGCATGGACTCTAGAGTCAAAAAAAAAAAAAAAGCTAGTAACTGAGGAAAATGTAGGACAAAGAAAAGAAGTAAACAAACTTGCAAATTCTAAAAGATACTTCAAAACACTTTAAATGTAAGATCTAAAGGCACTTATTAGCTCCATTTTCACTGGAAACAGGCAGCCCCTCTTTATTTTTATTACTACTAGCAATATCCTTAAACTTAGAAGATATGATTAAGTTTACTACATGTTATAAAAATGGAATGAAGAGAGAATTTTAAAAAAGAAAGGAAGAGGGTGTGGTGAAAGGGAGAGAGAAAAATCAGGAACAATAAGAAATGAGAAGAAAAAAATGGCACACCACCATTAGGGAATGTTCACAAGTCAGGTTTTTAACCTGATTTTAATTCCCATCTAGAAATATAAATAAAAGTACACAAACACATGTGACATACAGATAAAAGTAAAATGAGCCAAACAATTCCATAACAAGTGGAGGTAGGCAGAGTTTAAAAAAAGGAAGAAGAGGAGAGGATGGTCAGAAAAGGCCTTTCAGAGCACTTGAGATTGAAGCAAAGGTTAGGATGTAAGAAGGACAGCCATGTGAAGGGCAGGGAAAGGCTGAGGGGTGGAGAGCTATGGGGAGAAGGAAATGAATGGGAAAGACCTGAGGCAACTGAAGAAATGACAAGAGACCAGTCTGAGTGAACTGCAGGAAGAGAATGTGGCTAGACTAGATGTAGAAAGTAGTCCCATGCTAAATTATACAGTTCCCTGCAGGTCACATCAAAAAACCACAGATCTTTAAAAAATATAAACAAGACTGATACAAACAAGTCATTTTTAAGATCACTCTAAGGAGTTGAGAATAGAATGGAGAGGGAGAAGGGTAGAAGCAGTGAAAACATTCCATATGAATCATTCCTAAAGGGTTGAGTTCCTTCCCACTTCTGTCTTCACCTATTCCTACTTCATATTCAACTTAAATCCCCTCTCCAACCTATGCCCTGTATTTCACCAAATTGCAAATAACAGGGTAAGGAAAAGGTAGCTTTTTGACTCTCTGTGCATCCTGGATTTCATTAGAAAGTTTTAGGTTACTGCTACATAAACAAAGGTTATGAATATACTTAATTTAAAAATTAACCATGCAAGTCTTTCACCAGCTATGTACCTAGAATAAAACAAACACACAGAGCCACTCACCAACTTCTCAATATGTTTTTAACTGACCTTAAAATTTGGAGAAAAGTATCGGTTGGCCTTGTCTTTATTTGCTTTGTCGAGATCATTTTTTGTTAAAGTGAGTACTAGATATTCTTTGTCATTATCTGCACGCTCTATACTGCAAATACTATCAATTTCTTGATCACATAGACTTCCATTTTCTACTTTTTCTGAGGTTTCCTCTGGTCCTGGTATGAAGAATGTGTTTACCCAAAAGTGAAACATTTTGTCCTTTAAAAAAAAAAAAAGGCATATTTGAATTTTTTTTTTAAGACAATGCTAATTTATTCAACATTTGTCCTAGGAAGTGAACAAATCATGCCATGTGCTATTTAATATTCTGAATAAAGGTAAACACAAAAACTAATACTGGGCAATCTATGGGTTATCTATCTATAGCATCCAATTCCCATAGGAAGTTTCCTTTAATTCAAATCTAGACCAAAAATGTAATTCCACAATGCTAAAATAAACTTACTTTAATACCTTAAGTAAAATATCTTTTCTAGTCTAATATTAGTCTTTTAAAGTGTTGAGTTTATATTATATACTAAAAAATTCAGAAATGGATTTAACTTCTTCTGTGTTTCAACAAGCTATTACAAAATTTACTTTAACAAAAGCTCTTGAAATGTCAGTACAACTTTCCAATGAAGCACCAAAGGGTGTTACGAACTTCAACTTTTCATTGTTACAAAATGCCCACTTTAAAAATCACTTCTTACTAATAGGAGGTCTTGTAAATTAAAAAAAAAAATCACATCAGAAATTCACTACTTCAAACCTTTCTTGATCAACACAGAAACTGTTCTCTCTCTTAAATAGTGGAACTGGCCTGTATGCATCATTTGACAATTAATGATGTACAATCCTGTGACATCTTATCTGGTACCTTAAATTGCCATTTAAATCTTTTATTCTAATTTATCTTCAAGTTTATTTTCCTGGGAAGATGGTAAGAAACTTAAGGAACTTATGTCTTAAATGTTTTTGTATCTTTTAACAGTACCTAGCCCAGCAGTTTTATGTGGTAGAAGTCTTTTAAAAATGTTTTATTAATTTCAATTATTTTAGCAAAGTTACTAAGTTAGTAACTATACACATACTTCACTTAAGAGTCAGAAGAAAATAAACTAGCAAAATTTAAAACTTCAAAAACTGTGGATTGTGCTTATGCACTGATTATACAAAAACTGCTTTGTTTAAAACAGGCCAAACTCTTACAACATGCAAGGAAAATCACATAAAATGGAAATAAATGTAAGGTAACTCAAGATATACAAATTATTATAAATATTTAACTTAACCTTCAAATTTACATGTGTTAATGTAAATTGGAAGAATAAGAATTAGTGCACTCCTAAAAGTATCGAAAAAGTGATACAGGTGCTTATTTTTAAAAGCAAAATGTAAAATTTTTATGCATGCTAGTCTTACAATGAATAAAAGAAAAAATTTACCTTAACTGCAAAACATTTATTAATACCAGTTGGATTACTGAAAAATACATTTTCAAAGTTATGGAGATATACTTAACTTTTATTTATATAGTACACATAGGAAATGGGTTTTTGGTGAAAAAAATCAGTTTTACATCTTGTGATTTTCCAGCTACTTGGATTCTGGATAAAGGAAAATATATTTCTTCTGATAAGCAAAAGAGAAGTCAAAATTTTTGTAGTAAATGAAGCTTCCTTATTTTCTCTCAACAACAACAATAAAAAGCCCAAATTCAGGAAAATGAAATCAATCTGACTGTGGAGACTGTCTAAAGGTTAGTGATCCACTACTACCTGGTATGTTTAGGAGGCAGTAACAGTGCATACAGCTAATGTTTCTGCTCATTACTACCTAAATATTTTGCACCTTAGGCTCACCTTAAATGTTCACACTTAGTATTTTAAACCAAGACAGTTTGTTTTAAAATGAGCTCCTATGTTCTCTAAACATAGCTCACTGAGATGCAAACCTTAAACGTGTATATTTAAATACCACATTTTTTCATTCTTTATTACTTCCTCTTCATATTTATTCCTCTCCTAGCTAAAAATTGAAATACTCAGTAAATCTGAGGAAGCTAAATATAAAATGACCCAGTCTCAAGAAACATTAACCAAAATGGGGGAAACAGATTTTATTTATACAAACAGACCAAAATTTTTTTTTCAAACTCATGCCCCATGCTTACTTCTCGGTTTAATCAATCATCTCTTCTAAAAGGACTGTAACCGATTGAATGGGGTAAATATGCAATCTTTAATACTTTTATAGAATTTATTTGTATAGCCCAAGTTAAGAAAAATTCATCTCAAATTACAATGTCACATGGCCTTTTCCTTCTCCTATGGCTATTTACCACTATAATGGCTCAATGATGCCATAGTAAGCAAAGCACGTACAGATTTTGTAGAAAACTATTCATGATTTATTAGATGTCGGACACAAAACACATCTTTTAGTCTCTCCTTTCAAAAGGATTTCTGCCCAACTAAATGCTTTAAGCAAAAGATCTGAGGTTACTATTCAAGGTATGGCTATTTTGGATATTTTTCCCAACAAAAGTAAAGAGCAAACCTTTTTTAGCATCTTGTTCTGTTTGTGGAAGAACTCTACTTTGATGTCACCACACACAGGCAACGGCTGAGGGAACTCAAAGTACATGAACTTGTCTTCCCGTCGTGTGGGTCCTGAATTGGAGGAATATATCTTCACCTTTAGCTGGCAGACCACAAACTGAGGATCTGCATGGTCAAATACATACTAGTATCACTTCACAGGAAATGTCTTTAACTGTCAAAAGCTATTTTGATGGTTAGTATTAGCAACAGACAGAAAGTAGTAATTTTGCATCTTTAATGCCCCATCTAAAACAAATCAATGGATACAAAATAACACATAGATACACAGATAGAAATAAACCAGTGGAAATTAACTACAGCAAAATATAATCAATACCATCAATATGAGGTAATATTACTCATACTAAAGTCACTTATATTCCATAAATAGTTAAGTACCAAGACTGAACTTGTAGCAGTATACAGTAACATCAAAACTTTAACATGACAATGTTAAAATCTAATATAAATGATTTTTAAGAACTGCATAAAAATTTATTTTAAGAACTGCATAAGAAGGAACTTTTAAAACAGGTATTTGCTGCAGTATTTTAAAGTCTGTAACACAGAATAAAAACCACAAAATACCAATCGTTACACATTCACAAGAAGAAAATATAACCTATAACAAAGTTATAATACATTCCATAAACACGTTTCAATAATTATAAAAATATTAACTATATTTCATTTTACCTATAATTCATATTTTATTTTTAAAGGTATATAAAGCCACCACCACAAGAAATAGGAGGAAAGAGATTTGAAGTGTCTGCAAAGAAATGCAACAGACATCAAGTACAAATTATAGCACAACCTCCCTCTCTTCAAAACACACTCCATTTTTCATTAACAAGTATTTTGACTTTGGTCCACGTCTGTTTTAAAATAAGTGGTAAAAAAAATAATAAAAACAAAATAATCTCAAAATATATTGTGTTTATATTAGCAATGCAACTAAAAGGCAGTCAAGTATGAAAAGAAAGGCTTATGTGTTTTATTTTTTTAAATCTACTCATAAATACATTTATACTAGTGACACTGATGACAGAACGTGGCTTCAAGTTATGAACATTAAGATCCTAGCAGTTAAGAAAGAAAGTAATTAAACTGAGGAGGGAAGAAGTGGGTTTTTGAAGTTTCAAAACATACCAAGATAATTAAGAAATAAAAACATAAGCTTGCATAAAGTGAATGAGAAATATATAAATATATACACATAAAGTTCTCAGCACCAAAAGACATCATCTTTAAATATGGGGGGAAAAAATGTATCACATTCTTTATCAATGTGACCACAACTCTGGAAAAGGCAAAAAGCTTATTCAAGCTAAATAAATTTGCCAGTATAATAAACACCTACTGGCTCATCTATACAATACTTAATGCAGTATCATCAATCACATAATAAATAGTAAGCTTGATAAAAAGCATGAGTGTTTACTGCAATATGGATTTGTGAGACACTGATGAGAAAAAGGAACTCTAAAAAGAGAAATGTTACACTAACAACCTATCAATAATTTTCACTTCCTTGACTAAAGATTCAAAGTACAAAGAGCAATTTTACAAGACTTAATTTGATACTGAAAATTTCACTGAGAAGTCCAGGTTGAAGAAGTGAACAAAGAAAGTATGATTTTAAAACTGTGATAAAACCAATCAAGATGAAAATGCCTTGTAATCATATTAATTCAAAATCCACTAATTCAGAATCTGATCATCTTAATCTTAGGACTTTAAAAAGCAAATTAACTGTGAAATCTGAATTAACAGATTTTAATTAAACTACATCTAAAATGTGCACCTTCAAGAATTTTAGAATTATATAAATAAATAATGATTTGAAATTAGTGTTACTTAGATATTTCCTCAAAAAACTAAGCTAAAAGGTTTTAAGTGAAAAACATTCCCTCAAATCCCTGAAGAAGACAATTTTCTTTAGAGTGTGAATTTCACATTTTAGATAGATAAGACCAAACTTAACAGAATTCCGACATTAGTATGGTTCTTTTGACTAAGACACAACTGAGATACACACACACACACACACACACACACACACATATATCTTTGATAGGATCAACTGTGCTCTAAAAAAACAGAAATGAAACAAAACTTAGAATTTTTTTCGATGTACATATATTGATATATTATGAGAGAAAAATCACAGTGATTATCTTTTATTAACTTTTTTAACCCTTTTAGATATACAGAAGATAGTAACTTTTTCTTTATTTAGAAATATTAAGACAATAATCAAATAAGAAAAAAGTTTTAACCTACAACAACTTTGCAGAAGATATTTTATTTTCAAGTTTTGTTTTCTTCATCGATTCCTCTTCCTCCTCCTGAACCCAAACTATTACGAATCCTGTTTGACTCAGCCCTCACACTGTTTGCATCTGAGCCTTCCCATATTCTAGCCCCATACCAAATTTATATGAAGGGCTTAACTACCATGTCTCGTTCCTGATGCTTCTCAAAATATCAGACATATCTGTCACGTAAGTTCAAATTCATACTTTCAAGTACCAACTGAATATGTTCATGTAAGCAGCTCACCTTTACCTGATTTAAAACATATGTTTAAAACCAAAATATCAACATCCATGTCTCCAAGTCTCAGATTCCCTTTTCGTTCTTCCCTTTTCTGTGACTTATTCACCTGACCAGAGTAAAATATTTAGATATAAATGGCAGAAGAAAAACTAATCATTTGACTGCCCTGGCAAAGCATACCTGGCTTAAAGAAAGTCATGTAATGCAACTGTTTAATTTTCCACGGTTTTTTCTTCCCTCATGCAGTCACTACTTCCTACAAAACTGTATTTAACTACAGTTTAAGCCTCTAGTATGATCACTAACATCATAGTATTTATCAAATCAAGTCTGATATGTCTATTCAGAGTCTTCTAACAGTCAGCCACACATTTCATTCCTATTCTATTCTCTGTCTCTATATTTCTTGTCCAGCTCATTTCCTTCTGCTGTGCTTCAATTCAAGCCAATCTAAATTGCATGCTTTCTCCAATGTTCAATAAAGAGCTGGACTTCCTTCATAAAACTATTTGACAACCCCCGCCAAACTTGATTTTTCTGAATATATTATTTGTAATTTACATGTACAACCACACATTTAGTAATATATTACTTATACTACAGCTTTACTAGACAGTACTGAATCATAGTGTGTAAACAAAGAACTAGAAAATTAGTAAAGATTAAACAGATCTGAGTAGTAACTTGCAAAGTTTAAACATAATACTGAGAGATCCAATATACACAGACATACACACACATGGTTTAAAGGTAGAGCACAACTGCAGAGAAGAAATGATAGATGTTCGCTAGGGAGATCAATACAAAAAAAAAAAATTACAGTAGATAAAATTACTGAACTAAATGTTTATTTCTGTAATATTTTATATCTTGCCATTTGAATCTTACACTGAAATCTAACACTATAGGAAGAGCATGAGTTTTGTTTTTTTTTCCTTTCCCTTCTCTGCTATAAATCTAAGTTCCTATGCCAATCACCTCTTGACAGCCTAGTACCTTGTACTCAGCAGTTTTAAAAATTGTACTGAGATGACAAAAACATCAATGAGGTCTCTTTGAAGTCTTCCACGTGCTATGTTAATAGACCTTGTGGTCTTTGATAAATAAAGTTAACTTGCCCTAAGAATACAGGAAAGATCTAATGAAGGTGATCACACCTGACAAAAATAAACAACATAAGGAAATTAATTCCCTACATATAAATTAATTCAGGGTCAGAAAGCTTTTAAGTTACATAACTACTGTTAAGAAGAAAACTTTAAGCTAAAAAATAAAACCATCAACAAATTGCAAAGTATCACTGAAATACTGTTAGAGGTATTAGAAAAATAATACAGTTACATCTTATCTAGAAACTATAAAATTATATTCTAAATAAATTAAACATAGTTCTTAAACATGAAATGGAATAGGAAATGGCAACCCACTCCAGTATTCTTGCTAGGAAAATCCCACAGACAGAGGAATCTGGCGGGCTACAGTCCATGCGGTCACAAAGAGTCAGACACAACTGAGCACACACAGACACAAACATGAAAATACAACTAATCACTTCCAAGACAGAAACTAGTACAAAAAAATGGTAACAGAAAAAAGCAGCACACAGTCTGTTCTTTTACAGGGCTGCATTAATACTTCCACGTGTTCTCTCGTGACCACCTGCTCAGGGTCAAGGTTTTAAGGTAACTATCAGTCTAGCTTAAAAACTCCAGCAAAGAACAGGAAAGAAGCAGAAAAGGACCAGGAGGACTGAGGTAGGCTTAGAGAGGTTAGGATGGGAGAGAGAAATTAAAGGCAGACATCAATGATATGATCTTCATTTAGCACTTTTCTAGGAAGTTTCAGATTTCAAAATATCCTTATACTATTGATAAAGACAAAGAGAGGTGAGGTAGATGATGTGCCCTTGGTTATATAGCTCATTAATGACAACTCTAGCACTGGAGGGAGACGGGGGGTCTCAGTCACTTAGGTCCAACTCTTTGTGACCCCATGGACTGCAGCCCACCAAGCTCCTCTGTCTATGGGGTTCGCTGGGCAAGAATACTGGAAAGGGTTGCCATTTCCTCCTCCAAAGGAATCACCCTGGAGGGCACCCAGGGATCAAATCCATGTCTCCAGTACTGGTAGGTGAGCCATTTGAGAAGCCTCTTTAGCATTGGAACTCAGATCTAAATCTAGGTTTTCTCTAATACTCCACACTCAATCAATATACATGTTGCCATGTCTTATAATTGTTTTCCCTTTAACGTCCTCATCACCATTTCTATTAATATCTGGTCTTCCTAGGATACTGAGGAATTGGTTCCTACCCTAACACCACTGAAGTGGTGAATCTCAATGCTACTCATGCTGAATCACTGACAGGACAGGCTTTCAGTCACCAAGTCAGAATACAGGCTGCACTTGGTGGCTGTGGCACAGAACGCGTCTTTCATAAATATGACATGGCTTCCAAGACTTTCCCACCCAGTGGTCTCGGCTTCCTCAGGCCAGTGTGTGCCGAACCGCGGCGTTAGTGATCAGCTTGGACACCTCAGAAACATACAAACTTGCATAAAGTTTACATGTGGTAAATTTCTTTCTAGATTATTTTTTATAAACGTCTACATACGTTAAGAAAAGTGTTACAGTAGATGAAAGGATGAGAATTTAGAGCACTTACTGCAAGTTCCGCCACTGAACATTGGAATAGTTTCAAACATCATCTTGTGAAACAACAGTGCCACTGGTCTATAATCCAGATGATTCTTTAACAGGTAGCTATAATAATACACATAGCGCCTCTGACTGGGAATAGTTACTCCCTGGTGAACAGACAAAAAAAAGACAAAAAGGCAAAGTCAAAAGAAAAGTTTCATTGTATCCACTGAAGAACATATATACATTAGAAATTTGACCTTAAATGATCTAACATTTAAATCTAGCTCAGTAATAGAGTAAATCAAAGCAAGGAAATATCATAATAACTCTTCTCCCTTAAAATACAATCAAAACACTCCCATCTATTCAATGATCACAACAATCTTTGAACCATGCACCCAATAAGCAAAGGCCAGTGCATATCCAAAATAACTGTCAAAAGCCTTCACACATAGGGTTACCCACAAGGATTTATAGAACAAAATTCTTCACAAACATGGATACTTATTTTCTAGGCAAAAGCCTATCAAAATCAGCAAACTAAAGGCATATTGCCTTTATGAGACAGAAATAGCAGCAGCAAAAAAGATGCTGGCTTTAGAAACCAACAAAAACAAGAGTATGTAGCTGACACAAATGTATGCTATAATCTGATAACAAAGGTACTTAAACGTGTCCCTGAGCTACTATGTTACCTTGGAAATACATAACTTTTTAGAAAAGTTAAGTATGTTCTTGTTCAATTGCGAAGTCGTGTCTGCCTCTTTGCGATCCCGTGAACTAAAGCATGCCTATCTTTCACTATCTCTCCTGGAGCTTGTTCAAAGCGTTCATGTCCACTGAGTCGGTGAGGCCATCTAACCATCTCCTCCTCTGCCGTCCCCTTCTCCTCTTGCCCCCAGTCTTCCCCAGCATCAGGGTCTTTTCCAGCACTTCCCATCAGGTGGCCAAAGTATGGGAGCTTCAGCTTCGGCATCGGTCCTTCCAATGAATATTCAGGGTTGATTTCCTTTAGGATGGACTGGTTTGATCTCCTTGCAGTCCAAAGGACTCTCAAATATACAAATGCTAAAAATATATACAATTCATGTGGTGTTTAAATGGAGACCCTGACTTACCTCAAGAAAAAAAAATCCAATGTGTGCAGCAATGCATTCACTAATGGGCTCAATAAATGAGGTATTAGGGAACTTACTGAAGGTTTCTTTTCCTGTTACACAATATGACTTCAGGAAAATTTAAACATTCAACCCAGAATTTGCAGTATTTCTCTTATAGATGTTATATCAGCATCTAAATTGCCCAATGTATTAAAATCTCTGGACTTTTATGCTTTCCTTCCCTAATGAATAGTAGAAAGTACATTTATATAAGTTTAAAGATAAGTATGTTGAATGGCAGGTATATAGGTATTCATTTCAGTACTTTTATAAAGGTTAGTATGATTTTACTACAATTAAAAAAATACATAAAGTACCAAATAATGGAAAAAGATCTAAGATTATGGCTATAGTACAAAGATCATTCAGTCAGGAGACTTGGATGTGAATGCTGATAGTCAAAACACAAATTCTGTTTCTTCAGGAAAATGAAGACAATAATACTACCTTCACAAGATTCTCATGGGGATTAAATACTAAATGAAGTTAACACAAAACCATACTAAAACAAAATGTTACAGAAATCCAAATCAGTGATTTTAGAAATTCTACCAAATATTTAAGGTGTAATTTTTGGAACTGCAGTATTTTTAGTTCTACATATTTTCTTAAACAAACAGAATGAAAGCTGTGTTATTTTAAGAGCTGCTACAAATACCAATGTAAAAACTATCATTAAATTTTAAAAACTGTTAAGCTTAAAATTATTCTCTATATACATTACTTAATGCCACTTAACCCTGACTCCCAAAAAAACCCTTTTCATGTTCATCAAGATAAAATATAGAATTGCAAAGCAGGTTTGGGGAAACAGCACACAGAAGATGGATTGGAGGGGGGAATCTTTTTCGAACCATGTATATTTAAAATCTAGTCTAAAAGTTAAAATCAAATTAAAATTTAAAAATTAAATCAATGGAAACCTTTGAGACAACCAAGTTGTCAAGTTATTTATTGGGGTTTAGTGGAATGAAAGATGATCTTTTTTATCCTTTTTTATCCTTCTTTTTTATCTTCATTCTTGGTATAAGTGTGCATGAAATAACTAGATTTTCAAAGTTTTAATTTTATTCAAGTAGCAAGTGATTGGTAGTTTATCTGTAATACAGGTTTTAGAAACCCAGTTAATCCTTAACAAAAAGGCAAATGCATAGAGAAAAAAATGCTATGAATCTAATAGCTGCTAGCAATGAATGAGTAATTAATGTGTAATTACAAGAATCAAAATTATTGACACAATTCAAAGAAAAATGCTGGAAAATGTAATTTTAAATGTATTATTTTACTATCAAATTATGTATAATTAGTCTTCTGTATCTTAACTTTGCAATCCTTATCTGTTAGCTCACCAGCATCTCAAATTCAATGTGCCCAAATTAACAGATATTTAAAACTTGTGGAGAAATCAAAAGCTTTACAGATACAGACAAGCAAATGCTAAAAGAGTTCAGCACCACCAAATCAGTTTTAGTTTTATGTTAGATCTCTATATTTGATAATAAATAAACTCTAGCTTTGTTTAAAAAAAAAAAAAAAGGGTTGGAAGGTCCAAATGTGTATTATAAGCCCTTGAAATGTCCTCACTCTATTCTTGTTTCTCACAGCTGTGATGCACCTAACTAAAATTTAAATAACAATACAATGAATCACAATGTAATCTAGGATTTGAAATAAAATGAGCAAAACTTCCACACTAAATTGACAATGTGATTTATAACACTTTAAACATCATATATCCTGAATGCATACACTGAAAACAATGATTCATGTGCATATTTTACCTACAGCATCTTGAATATTAAGATTAAATTTAAATATATATATCTTTTTTAAAAATCTAAGAAATGAACTTACTGATCTTAAAAAATTCTACATATATGAAAACAGGGCTGACTTTAAAAGTTCTTGAAGATTAAAAATTACATATTCAAATTTTTCCATTTTTCATTAAGACTAATAAAAATCAATTCTATTCTTGAATTAATTTTTAAGCTAAACTGGTCTATAACTACATCCCCAAAATATAGTTCTACTCTCTACCACTGAATATTCTCCTAGAAAATTACTTATATTCTTAACTTTTTTTCCTCAAGTAAAACATTAAAACCACTTTAATTTTAGCTAAACTTAGCATTCTACAGGTTGACTTAGCATCACATTCCTAGCCATCATCTCAAAAGGCAGCCACTGCTTCAATTCCCTTTTATTCACAGGCCAGGAGGATGTTTAGTGTTTCTCCCACTATTCCTTCTAGCTTACATTTCTACTGTCTTTACTTAGCCTCACCTATCCAAATCTGAATCACTCAATACCTCTTTCCTCTGGTATACACTTATTAACACCTGACTACAATGTTTTCAGCATTTTGTTTATCCACCTCTCTTTCTGTCCAGTCCCAAACATCACCGTCAAAGAACTAAGTTCTCATTTTACTGGGAACCCTGAGGTAACCCAATGTGAGCACCCTCAGAATTATTTTCTCTCACCTTAAAATCTTTTTAGTGCTGAAATTTTATAAAAGTGTCTCTTCATGTTCACACTGGTTCCATTTTTGCAAGTGTTCTATGAATTATCGCCTCTCTGGCATCGGCCTTTATTCTCTCCACCTGTCCATCCTAATAGAAAGCTCAGATAACTCATCCTTTATCCAAAATAAGCAAACAACTCTAAGACCAAAAACATATACTCTCCCAAAATCTTGTATCCCTCTCAAACTTGCATCTTCTCTCTCTTCAAACTCTTGAAGAGAAGTCTCCTTAACTCTTGGAAATCTGTTAGCATAAGGCTGATTTCTTAAAGGTTTTTAGTTCTAATGGTCATTAATGGTCATTTTCTACTGTTTTCCTACTACCATTGTGGCTCATTTTTTGGCTGCCATTTTGAAAACTCCCTGCTTCTTTCACAGGATACACTCTGTAAAGGTTTTCTCTTATCTTTATTGGCTATCTCTTCTCTTCTTGTCTCCCCAAAATCGATCTGAGCTATCCCCTCTTTATATCAATCCTATCTACTTCAGTCTCAGTCTCAGTTCAGTCGCTCAGTCGTGTCTGACTATTTGCAACCCCATGAACCGCAGCACGCCAGGCCTCCCTGTCCATCACCAACTCCCAGAGTTCACCCAAACCATTGAGTCGGTGATGCCATCCAACCATCTCATCCTCTGTCGTCCCCTTCTCCTGCCCTCAATCTTTCCCAGCATCAGGGTCTTTTCCAATGAGTCAGCTCTCTGCATCAGGTGGCCAGAGGATTGGAGTTTCAGCTTCAACATCAGTCCTTCCAATGAACACCCAGGACTGATCTCCTTTAGGATGGACTGGTTGGATCTCCTTGCAGTCCAAGGGACTCTCAAGAGTCTTCTCCAACATCACAGTTCAAAAGCATCAATTCTTCGGCGTTCAGTTTTCTTTAGAGTCCAACTCTCACATCCATACATGACTATTGGAAAAAACCATAGCCTTGACTAGACGTAGACAGACCTTTGTTGACAAAGTAATGCCTCTGCTTTTTAATATGCTGTTTAGGTTGGTCATAACTTTCCTTCCAAGGAATAAGCGTCTTTTAATTTCATGGCTGCAATCACCATCTGCAGTGATTTTGGAGCCCAGAAAAATAAAGTCAGCCACTGTTTCCCCATCTACTTCAGTAGTTTAATTATAAACCTTACACATTAACTCCAAAAACTGTGTCTCTCAATCTGATTTCACTCCTCACTTCCAGTCCAGAATTCACATGGCTGGACACTTCAAGCTGGAAATCTCACAAGCGCATAAAAAACAATATATCAGAGGTGAAGCTTTCATATTCCTGCATGGACCAACCTCTGTTAATTACTCAACTTACTATTTTCTCCAGCATCTGAGGGCCAAATCTCTTCTAATACCATCACTATCATAGAGCAAAGGAAACACACTTTTAATTTGACAAAAATATAAGATTAATCACATAAACAATTAATTCAAAATGTTAAATGGCTTCCCAGTATCTCCCCAAATAAGAACAAATTT